CTATCTATCTATCTATCTATCTATCTATCTATCTATCTCTATCTATCTATCTATCTATCTCTATCTATCTATCTATCTATCTATCTATCTATCTATCTATCTATCTATCTATCTATTATCTATCTATCTATCTATTATCTATCTATCTATCTATCTATCTATCTATCTATATCTATCTATCTATCTATCTATCTATCTATCTATCTATCTATCTATCTATCTATCTATCTATCTATCTATCTATCTATCACCTATCTTTCCATCTATTTCTATTTACATCAACCTCTGCCAAAGGCAAAGGAGCTTACAATCTAATTTCCAGAGTTATACTGACACAATAGATCTGGTTTGAGGGTAAGACTACTGACCTACCAGAATGTTCTTGGTAAGAGCGGTAAGAGACCGGGACACCTTGAGGAAATCATAAGGAAAAAGAAGAATTATATAAAGCACATGCCAATAATGCCCCTTGTGAGGGTCAGTACTTAGCTTACTGACATGTTAACATGCTAACTGTTATCATATCAACTGGTATCATATCAAGGAAACAGGAATCCAATCAAGACAACATGGTCAATGGTTGGCACTGGTGGTCAATGGCCAGCACTGGTGGTCAATGGTTGGCACTGGTGGTCAATGGTCAGCACTGGTGGACAATTGTCGGCACTGGTGGACTATGGCTGTCACTGGTGGTCAATCCAATCAAGACAACATGGTCAATGGTTGGCACTGGTGGTCAATCGCCATCAATGGTGGTCAATGGTTGGCACTGGTGGTCAATGGTTGGCACTGGTGGTCAATGGTCAGCACTGGTGGACAATTGTCGGCACTGGTGGACAATGGCTGTCACTGGTGGTCAATCCAATCAAGACAACATGGTCAATGGTTGGCACTGGTGGTCAATGGCCATCACTGGTGGCCAATGGTTGGCACTGGTGGTCAATGGTTGGCACTGGTGGTCAATGGTCAGCACTGGTGGACAATTGTCGGCACTGGTGGACAATGGCTGTCACTGGTGGTCAATGGCTGGCACTGGTGGTCATTGACCATAAAGACATGGAGGAGCCAGTTTAGGGTGGAGGAACTTGACTTGCCTGCACAGAGTCCTGACCTCAACCCCATAGAACACCTTTGAGATGGATTAGAGCGGAGACTGTGAGCCAGGCCTCTCCTCCGACATCAGTGCCTGACCTGACAAATGTGCTTCTGGAAGAATGGTCCAACCTTCCCATAGACACCCTCCTAAACCTTGTGGACGGCCTTCCCAGAGAGTTGAAGCTGTTATAGCTGCAAAGGGCGGGGCCAACTCAATATTGAACCCTACGGACTGGGAGGACATTAAAGTTCATGTGCATGGAAAGGCAGGCGTCCCAATACTTTTGATAATAGTAGTGTGTATATAAATATATATATATATATATTCTTTTTTTTTATACGTTTCCTCCAAGAACTGTCATTCGTCTTCATGCGCTCTTGTCCCGCTACAGACAGACTGGAGCATCAAGCAGACTCAGCTTAATTAAGGCCCTTGCGCTTGTAATTCAGATTTCTCCCTTTATCTCAGCGTTTCAAAAAAGATCGCCATTAATAATTTATTAACGCTCAAACAGGGACGACATTTTACCATATGGGGCTTTCATCATGAATCAAAACGTTGCATGTGTCTGGGCATTATGAATTTATATTATATCAGAAAGGGGGATGCCTGCACTTTTTTTTTCCGAGAGAGCGAATACAAATTTCTGTCAGCGAGATGCTTCGCGCGGCTCCGCGGCTTGTCTTCATGTCATATTTATGGGTAAGATGCAAATTCGGGATTTCTGTATGGCTGACAATTTTTGGAACCGTATTCACGTAGCAATTGTCCTTATGGAGAGAGTTGTACCCTCAGATCCCCTGAGTGGCTGTACTGGAAGGACAGGCGATGATACAGGTTTTCGAAAGGAGCTGCTTACAGTGTCTGAGGAAAATACATAAAAAAATACTATAGTATTTTATCTTTATAAATGCGGCAAATACAGCAAAAAACTTTTTGATCCTGCCAGAAATTCAGCAAGCTCCTAACTTGCTATAGAGATCTGGCAACAAAGTGCCCCTGCTGTACTGAAATCCCAACAAAATACAGTGAAGGAAATAAGTATTTGATCCCCGGCTGATTTTGAATGTTTTGCCCACTCACAAAGAAATGATCGATCTAAAAATCGAATGTTCGGTGTATTGTAACACTGAGAGACAGAATAGTAACAAAAAATTCAAAATAAATGCATGTCTAACAAATGATGACTGATCTGCATGTTCATGAGGGAAATAAGTATTTGATCCCCTTCACAAAACATGACTTAGTACTTGGTGGCAAATCTCTTGTTGGCAATCACAGAGGTCAGACGTTTCCTGGAGTTGCCCCCAGGTTCGCACACATCTCAGGAGGGATTTTGGCCCACTCCTCTTGGCAGATCATCTCCAAGTCATTAAGGTTTGGTGGCTGACGTTTGGGAACTCAAACTTTCAGCTCCCTCCACAGATTTTCAATCGGATTAAGGTCTGGAGACTGGCTAGGCCACTCCAGGACCTAAATGTGCTTCTTCTTGAGCTGCTCCTTTGTTGCCTTGGCCGTGTGTTTTGGGTCATTGTCATGCTGGAACACCCATCCACGACCCATTTTCAATGCCCTGGCTGAGAGAAGAAGGTTCTCACCCAAGATTTGACAGTACATTGCCCCGTCCATTGTCCCTTTGATGCGGGTGCAGTTGTCCTGTCCCCTTAGCAGAAAAACACCCCCAAAGCAGAATGTTTCCACCACCATGTTTGACATGGGTTAGACATGCATTTCTTTTGAATTTGTTGTTGCTATTCTGTCTCTCCGTGTTACAATACACTGAACATTCGATTTTTAGACCGATCATTTCTTTGTGAGTGGGCAAACATTCAAAATCAGCAGGGGATCAAGTACTTATTTCCTTCACTGTGTATCCAAGCTTCAGAACTTCAAATAGGTATTAGTTGGGAGTGTAGGAGATACACCAACTCAAACACAGGGTCCTCTTGTAAAAGAATCCCCTACAGTGGGTACCAGGGACGTAAATGAATGTAGAAGACAGACAATAGTAGTTCCATTCCAAAGGAAAGGAGTCTAATATGCTTTAATAGGTCCTTAGTTCCATCACAAAGACAGCCAACGCGACTGGACACAGCTTAACACATGGTAAAGGGCCGCTGTGATTGGCCCTTTACCTCGATCTGTGATCAGCAATCACAGAGCATGTATGATGTATGCCCAGGGGGGGGGGGGGGGCATGCATGGAGCCAGGGTTCTGGGAGGGTGTCTATAGATGCCCTCCCAGAAATAGACGACCGCACAGTAGGCGTCTTTCGGCTATAGTTCGATCCAGGGGCGGACTGACAACTCATGGGCCTCCTGGGCAATGGTCAGCACTGGTGGACAATTGTCGGCACTGGTGGACAATGGCTGTCACTGGTGGTCAATGGCTGGCACTGGTGGTCAATGACCATAAAAAACGGGTGTCCTTGCCCAAACTCAAAAAAGCCTATGAAAAAGGTACCAGGGGCATCTCATGGGGCCCCCTACCCTCGGTCAGTGCCCGAGTTTCCAAATGGTCAGTCCGCCCCTGGTATGATCGGCAACTGATTAGTAGACAGGCCCAAAGCAGAATTGTAATTATGATCTGGCCCATAGGTGGTATACAGGTTGGAGAGCTGAGCTGGTTAACGTTGAGTGTGAAGGAATCGGGAGGTAGTACAGGTGTATTCTTGCCCTGGTGACCCGAGAAGCGGTCGCATGTGAGAAACATGACTTGAAATTGCAATTTATAATTATAATCTCTTTTCATACAACATTCAGTTTTAATAATTAGGCTGTACCCTAACTGAGGTGTCAGAATCTTGCCGTCCTTAATTTCATCTCGGAGAGCTTTCAGCACGTTTGTCCAAATATCTGAAAAAGCCTTGAGCGGAGGAGAGGTCAAGGTTTGGAACTGGGCTGGAGAGAATTCGGGATGATTGGCAGGTTTGGGTGGAGAGGACAGGGAAGTATGCGGACTCGGCGCAGTAACGCACTGACCCCATCACGTAGAAAGCACGGAGCGTAGACGGCGCTCTTTCACCTTCAAATATTTCATTTGCAGATGTTTTTCTCATATCCAGCAAAGACCATTTATTTAGCAATTTTTAGGAAAAGTTCTAAAGATTTCTAAAGTTTTAATGAGTCCACTCAAAATTGAGTCACCTTGCATCAGTCCCAGGACAAGGTCATCTAGCGCCCATGATGATGATTCCAAACTGTGCTCTCCCCCCCCCCCCAAGATATATGAGCATTATATGTCAGTAAAAATCCCCCTCCCCCCCAAAAAAAACTCAAGCACTAATCTGCACACTAACCCCCTAAGTATACAGTATATTCCCCTTGCAAGATGACATTCTTCTCAAACACAAATTTCCCCTCCTCCCAGTACAAATGCCCCCCCCCCCCCACACTGAAATCCCCCTCTCCCAGCACAACTTTTTGACCTTCTCATCTTTGCTTGGATGAGATGGGGGAAGTAAAAAAATCCTGCACAGTACTGGTTTGACAGTCCCAATGCAGGAGCACTGCAGTGGCAGGAGGAGGAGCTGGAGGGGAGAGAGAGCACAGCCCGCACCTCCTCCCACCTCTCTTCTGCTCTCCTGATTATGCTTGTCAATTCCCACACTAAACTGACAGGAGTGGTGAGGCTGCTGTCACTACTCCTGTCAGCTTGTACTAGCAGGAACTGTCCATGCACTGCCTCTCCGCCCCCCACCTCACATGATAACAGAGCACCTGGGGCAGCTGTCACACAATTTTCTACCAGGATCACCAGTCTCCTGGCTTGATGTACAGTCTCCAATGATTTCTGAACCCTGATCCCCCCCCCCTTTCCTGATAGTTCCATTGCCTCTAAGCAGTATTACTTCCAAGTAACTACTGTATATACTAAGTAGAATTCCCTGTCAACCTTCTTCCCACTTCTCCTGTCCTGTATGCCGGGTGTAATTCTCGGTATCTGTCCTTATTCTGTATGTATGGACTCTGCACAGTCCCACTTCTCCTGTCCTGTATGCCGGGTGTAATTCTCAGTACCTGTCTTTATTCTGTATGTATGGACTCTGCACAGTCCCACTTCTCCTGTCCTGTATGCCGGGTGTAATTCTAGGTATCTGTCCTTGTTCTGTATGTATGGACTCTGGACAGTCCCACTTCTCCTGTCCTGTATGCCGGGTGTAATTCTAGGTATCTGTCCTTATTCTGTATGTATGGACTCTGGACAGTACCACTTCTCCTGTCCTGTATGCCGGGTGTAATTCTCAGTATCTGTCCTTATTCTATATGTATGGACTCTGCACAGCCCCACTCGGGCGGACTGACCCTTTGGAAACTCAGGCACTGCCCGAGGGCCCGGGGTCAGTAGGGGGCCCCATGAGATGCCCCTGGTACCTTTTTCATAGGCTTTTTTGAGTTTGGGCAAGGACACAGGGGCCCCATGATCCCCTATTGCCTGGGGGCCCCATGAGTTGTCAGTCCACCCCTGGTCTCACTTCTACTGTCCTGTATGCTGGGTGCAATTCTCGGTATCTGTCCTTATTCTGTATGTATGGACTCTGCACGGTCCCACTTCTCCTGTCCTGTATGCTGGGTGTTATTCTCGGTATCTGTCCTTATTCTGCATGTATGGACTCTGCACAGTCCCACTTCTCCTGTCCTGTAAGCCGGGTGTAATTCTAGGTATCTGTCCTTATTCTGTATGTATGGACTCTGGACAGTCCCACTTCTCCTGTCCTGTATGCCGGGTGTAATTCTAGGTATCTGTCCTTATTCTGTATGTATGGACTGGACAGTACCACTTCTCCTGTCCTGTATGCCGGGTGTAATTCTCAGTATCTGTCCTTATTCTATATGTATGGACTCTGCACAGCCCCCACTCGGGCGGACTGACCCTTTGGAAACTCAGGCACTGCCCGAGGGCCCGGGGTCAGTAGGGGGCCCCATGAGATGCCCCTGGTACCTTTTTCATAGGCTTTTTTGAGTTTGGGCAAGGACACAGGGGCCCCATGATCCCCTATTGCCTGGGGGCCCCATGAGTTGTCAGTCCACCCCTGGTCTCACTTCTACTGTCCTGTATGCTGGGTGCAATTCTCGGTATCTGTCCTTATTCTGTATGTATGGACTCTGCACGGTCCCACTTCTCCTGTCCTGTATGCTGGGTGTTATTCTCGGTATCTGTCCTTATTCTGCATGTATGGACTCTGCACAGTCCCACTTCTCCTGTCCTGTAAGCCGGGTGTAATTCTAGGTATCTGTCCTTATTCTGTATGTATGGACTCTGCACAGTCCCACTTCTCTTGTCCTGTATGCTCGGTGTAATTCTAGGTATCTGTCCTTATTCTGTATGTATGGACTCTGCACAGTCCCCCTTCTCCTGTCCTGTATGCCGGGTGTCATTCTCGGTATCTGTTCTTATTCTGTAACACTGTAACTTTGTAGCAAGTCACAAAATGAGAGTCTGCAGCAGGGGCTGATCTGTGTCAGACATTTGTGAACACACTTGGAAACTGAACAGGCATCTGAATGCTATGTCTGCTTTAAGGTAAATTAAGCACACTTTTCTAACTTTAGCACAGGCACTGTATTTGCTGGACAGCAGTAGTCACTCTCTGATTGCTTTCACTTGCTGTTTAATAAATCACGTTCTTCCTTTTGTACGGTTTTCTTACTAAAAAGATTTTTTTCTTTCTTTCTTTCTTTTTTCATAACAAACAGTTTTTGAGGAAGTGATGCTAATGATTGCATTAATTCCATATATGAAAGGGGGAAAAAAAACTGTTACTGTCAGAAGACTTCTGATGAAATGCCCCTCTATCAGAGACAGCGCATTAATAATTGAGCCGGATTGTACATTTTACAAACATTTTTCCTCCCGAGCCGTTGCTATTTATTTACACATCATAAGAGCGCGGTGTTCATTTCCTCCTAAAAATCAAATAGAGATCTGTCAGGATAAAAATGGAAATGTTTCATCTTGGTGCCTCCAGGTGTAACGGTCCATTTTTCACGTCGACTCGGATGCGATTTTTCCTCGCTGTCTCCACCCTTTGATCAATAGGAGAATCTGTCTTCGATGGCAGTTAGGCTATAGAGACATCAACAAATAAATGGAGTTTTTAAGCAAACAGTGGTGCTTTGATCATTCAGGACAAAGCAACGGGTTCTCTTTAATGCAGGGTTCCTCAGGAGGACATGTTGACCTTGGATCCGCCACCATCTCCTGATGGAAGACCATGCCCGAGACTTCCAGGAATGGAGCACAATGTCAACCTAGGTGATGGCATTAATGACTGGCCCAGTGATATCTCTTAAGATCACTCCTCAGCCCTTTGTAAGCTCCAACTGGGCCAACTTGACTTCCTCTCCTCCATCTCAGCCCAGCTTAAAGATACGCACACTATGTCTATGAAGCTTCTCATTCATCCAGGTCATGGTATAGTTAGTATGAACTGGACTTGTTCTGTAATGTTGAAGATGTGTCATAGCTTCTCCAAGCCACTTCTTCACTTCCAAATGAATAAGTGCTTTGAAGAAACTACGAAGCGTCTTCAAGTTGGAGCTGAGGAAGATGCTCTGAGAAGCTACAAAACGTCTTCAAGCTGGAACTGAAGATGTGGCTTGGAGAAGCTATGAAACATTTTAAAACTGGGACAATGAAGCTACAAAACTCCTTCATAATGGAACTGAAGAAGTGGCTCTGAGAAGCTTTAAAAAGTCTTCAACACAGAAGTTATGAAGTGGTTCAGTAAAGCTACAAAATGTCTTCGAGTTGAAACTGAAAAAGTGTCTCAGAGAAGCTACAAAACATCTTCAGTTTGGAACTTGAGAAGTGGTTTGGAGAAGCTATGAAACATCTTCAACATAGAATGCTGAAAAAGTGGCTCTGAGAAGCTTTGAAAAGTCTTCAAATTGGGACATAAGAAGTGGCTCAGAGAAGCTACAAAACATCTTCAGTTTGGAACTTCAGAAGTGGTTTGGAGAAGCTATGAAACATCTTCAACATGGAATGCTGAAGAAGTGGCTCAGAGAAGCTTTGAAAAGTCTTCAAGTTGGGACATAAGAAGTGGCTCAGAGAAGCTACAAAACATCTTCAGTTTGGAACTTCAAAAGTGGTTTGGAGAAGCTATGAAACATCTTCAACATGGAATGCTGAAGAAGTGGCTCTGAGAAGCTTTGAAAAGTCTTCAAGTTGGAACATAAGAAGTGGCTTAGAGAAGCTTTAAAACATCTTCAATTTGGTACATAAGAAGTGGCTCAGAGAAGCTATGAATATCTTCAAGATGGAATGCTGAAGAAGTGGCTCTGAGAAGCTTTAAAAAGTCTTCAACATGGAACATATGAAGTGGCTCAGAGAAGCTATGAAATGTCTTCAAGTTGGAACTTAAGAAGTGGCTCAGAGAAACAACAAAACATCTTCAATTTGGAACATAAGAAGTGGCTAAGAGAAGCTATGAACATCTTCAAGATGGAATGCTGAAGAAGTGGCTCTGAGAAGCTTTAAAAAGTCTTCAACATGGAACTTATGAAGTGACTCAGAGAAGCTATGAAATGTCTTCAAGTTGGAACTTAAGAAGTGGCTCAGAGAAACTACAAAACACCTTCAATTTGGAACATAAGAAGTGGCTCAGAGAATCTATTAACATCTTCAAGATGGAATGCTGAAGAAGTGGCTCTGAGAAGCTTTAAAAAGTCTTCAACATGGAACTTATGAAGTGGCTCAGAGAAGATATGAAATGTCTTCAAGTCGGAACTGAAGAAGTGGCTCAGAAAAACTACAAAACATCTTCAATTTGGAACTTAAGAAGTGTCTCAGGGAAGCTATGAAATGTCTTCAAGCTGAAAGTGAAGAAGTTCCTCTGACAAGCTACAAACATCTTCAAGTTGAAACAAGAAGTGACTCAGAGAAGCTAAAAAAAAATCTTCAAGTTAGAATCGAAGAAGTGGCTCAAAGATGCTACAAAACATCTTCATTTTGGAACTTATGAAGTAGCTCAGAGAAGCTATGAAACATCTTCAAGATGGAATGCTGAAGAATTGGCTTTAAGAAGCTTTGGAACGTCTTCAAGTTGGAACTTAAGGAGAGGCTTAGACAAGCTATAAAAACATGGAACTGAAGAAGCAGTTTTCAAAATGTCTTCAACATTACAGAATAAATCCAGTTGAATGTACAGTATATAAGTACATTATATAACCAAAAGTTTGGGACACCTGCAGGGGCGGACTGACAACTCATGGGGCCCCCGGGCAATAGGGGATCATGGGGCCCTCTATGTCCTTGCCCACACTCAAAAATGCCTATAAAAAAGGTACCAAGGGCATTTCATGGGGCCTTCCTACTGACCCCGGGCCCTAGTGCTCAAATGGTCAGTCTGCCCCTGGACACCGGACCATCACACCTACAACTATATGGCAGAATGTACATGGACTCTCTTGGCTGTTTCCAGTGAAGGGTCTTGTTCACTGTACAGCATACAAATTAATTTTTGACAATTGTGTGCTTCCAACCATATAGCAACATTTTGGGAAATGCCTATTTCTTTCCCAGCATGACTTCCACCCTGGGCACAAAACTAGCTACATAAAGACATAGTTTGACGAGTTTAGTGCGAAGGAACTTGAGTGGTCCCTGGTCTCAGTTCTATTGACCACCTTTGGGATGAATTGGAACGCCAATGAAGGGCCAGGTCTTTTCCTCTAATATCAGTACCTGAACTCACAAATGTTCTTTTTACTGAATAGGCACAAATTTCCCCAGACTTATGCCAAAAACATGTGGACAGCCTTCCCAGAAGAGCGGAAGGTGTTAAAGGCTTGAAGAATAGAAAACTCTGAACTAATGTCCATGATCTTGGAGTGGGACGTCCAACAAGGTATTACAGGTGTGATGGTCAGGTGTCCACAAATCAAATCTAAAAAGTAAAACTGACCACATAGCTTTCCTTGAAAAAGTTTTGTTAAAAAAAACAGCACCCTTCCCTCCTGAAATGTACAAGTTGGGCTGACAGGTTGGTTTCCCTTAGCTGGGAAAGGCAGCAAAACTGTGCCACCGATCTTGTTTTCATTGTTTTCATTGACAAGATCTTGCAAAGTCCCAACAGTCATGAAATGTATTGCAGTGACTCACTCAGTGCTTCATGTATATAGATAATACGTTGCCACGTCATAATACTTCTATCACTCTACATGAAATGTACACGTCGTATTATCTTCACGCATAGTGAAATGCACGTAGAGCAGAAATTCTAGATCTCCAATGTAATCCTGGCCTGTCATTCACCGCTGTTCTGATCGAATTAATCTCTCCATCTGCAGATTAAACACCAGTTTTTCCATTCTCTCTAGAAAATGTTTCACCTTTCTCAAATGGCTATCAGCATTTTAATCAAGTCGTGTTTCTGATGCCCCTTCTCCCGCCTGACAGTGAATTAAATCGTCTTCAGCCTTGATATGGCTTCAAATCTAAAACCTGTGTGAAAGGCAGGAAAATGGTAAAGTAAAACTCTAAGCCATCCTTTCTCAAAACATGTTCCAGGAGCCCTAGGTTTCCTGTAGAAGTTGCCAGAGGTTCTTTGAGCAATGATCAAATTTTGTGTCTCGGATATGTAGCCACTGATAGCAATCAGCTATGCACAAGAGGGGCATTCTTCCCACTGACCACCAATGTAAGGAGCATTCTTCCCATTGACTACCAATGTGAGGGACATTCTTCCCACTGACGACCAATATAAGAAGAATTCTTCCCACTGACAATCAATGCAAGGAAGATTCTTCCCAATGACCACCAAAGTGGGTGCATTCTTCCCACTGATCACCAATGTAAGGAGCATTCTTCCCACTGACCACCAATGTAAGGAACATGTTTTCCACCGACCTCCAACGTAAGGAGCATTCTTCCCATTGACCACCAATGTAAGGAGCATTCTTCCCATTGACCACCAATGTAAGGAGGATTCTTCCCTCTGACCACCAAAGTGGGCGCATTCTTCCCACTGATCACCAATGTAAGAAGCATTCTTCTCATTGACTACCAATGTGAGGGACATTCTTCCCACTGACCACCAATATAAGAAGTATTCTTCCACTAACCATCAATGCAAGGAAGATTCTTCCCAATGACCACCGAAGTGGGTGCATTCTTCCCACTGATCACCAATGTAAGGAACATTCTTCCCACTGAACACCAATGTAAGGAACATTTTTTCCACTGACCTCCAATGTAAGGAGCATTCTTCCCATTGACCACCAATGTAAGGAGCATTCTTCCCATTGACCACCAATGTAAGGAGTGTTCTTCCCTCTGACCACTAATGTAAGGAACATTCTTCCCACCAACCTGACCACCCACTGACCACCAATGTAATAAACATTCTTCCCACAGACCACCAA